TACCTTAAATTCTCCACTCCAAGCCTTCTACTTGGCGCCTTTTGTAGTTAAGTAGTCGCTCCACTGGTTAGTGCGGCTGCTCTTCCCCGGTTTTTCTCCTACTTGTATTCCTCGTTGATTTCTTGATGCTTGGGGCTTTGCCTTCATATTAGCTTTTCGTTATGGTGTCTCCGAGGTATCCTACATTAAGGACTCATAATATTCATGAGCAAAAGGTTCTAATCAATTGAATTGGGGATATTATAAGGACAAATCACTTAAAAACATGTAAATTTATGCAAGGAATATTGAAATAACGCAACTAAAGGATTTACATTAAAGATGCATAAAATGGGGCATAAACTCATGAGAAAGTGGTCACATCAAGGAAATATTGGAATACAAAAGTGGTCTAAAAGTGCATTTAACAACACGTTTTGACTTTTGCATTATTCATATGCTTCTCTTTGACCGTCCTTTATGATATGTACATAAGGAGAAACATATTCATGTGGGATCTTATTAGATTCATCTCGATACGTAATTTTAAAATATATCAACTATATATAAGTTTTTATTAATAGTTGATAAAGAAATTAAGGGTTGCATAAATACATTGGCAACCGTGACTGAAAAAAAAATGTCAGCTAAAAAGAAATGGATGAAGTATAATGCAACCAAAATCACATGTAATCTTAGCTTCAAAGATCAAATTTTCCTTATTATTCATTCAGATGTAAAAGCATTTGTTTGGGGAGTTAGTTCTACACTGCATGTATATTAAAGTTGTAAACATTGAAAGAGAAAGGGAGCAGAAGAGGGATAATGGAATATTACTTGTTGAAGAGCGGGGATTTTGGGAGAAGGGTGGTTGTAGGCTTGTAGCAAAAAAGAAGAGGGTTGAGCAATGGTTGACAAAAATTTTGACTTGCCATTTTTTTTACCTTCTGCTTTGTCTAGATAACTCATTTGATTTGAATTATGCTTTTCTGCATCAAACCCAGTCAAGTAAAAGCCTAAATATATACGAAATATATGACATTCCCCTTGACCAAGAAACATAGTGTCCACTCAACCAGTAGAATTTGATCTCTTCTTGATGTTGTGAAAACTAGGAAGTACCTAATTAGTCACTGAAAATTATCTCTGTTTGCTCACAATTGTGCATGTCTTGCTGCTCATCCAAAGCTTACAGGCCTCAAAAAGAAGTCAATCATATGCAAATGGGATGATCCAAGTTGTACCCTTGTTGAAATTTCTGGGCTTGATGTTGGTTGGGGCCAGGTAACAATATTATAATCTGCATTCTGTTTTTTTGATAATTTTCTTACTTATAGGTTTGTTAACTTTTCTTCTGCTTAACTAATGTTTATAAGTATTATTATTGGTTTTTTTTTTTTTTGGAAAGATAGTGGATCTCAATCATCTCATCAGTTAACCTAAGCTTACAAAAGTACTGGGATCCAACCTGCTGTCCTAGACCAATATTTAGTAGTACAAGGGTGCATTTTTGTTTTGTTTACTTTTAGATGAGAGGTTTAGGACCAAGTATCTTGGAAAACCTTAGCTAACTGGTGAATCAGGAAGAGGTGATTTCAAAGAGGCTGAGTCCAATTGCTGGTTGAATTCTGAAATACACATTCTTGATTCTTACAAACATTGGAACTCTGTAAACGAATGAAGAACAAAGTTGACTTGTTAAGAAAATTCTTGGGCACATAGACAAGGGAAGACTAAATACATCACCAGTGCTATTAGTCAGAGATCCAGTCCAATTTCATCTCTCATTTTTGAATTTGTGTTGGATTATTTCATTTCCTGACATTAAAGATGGATCCCGCATGAACATTATTTAGGTGTACACGTGTCATGTACTAGTGGAGTTTCCATTTCTGTGTATGTGGTGTGATTATGTGGCTAGGTAAATTGTGTTCATTTGCTAGGTGTACAAGTGTTTCATGGCAGACCATCTCTTTACTATGAACCCCATCCTTTGGTGGTTGGTTTGAGGTTTTGGTGGGTGCTAGGCAGTTTCTGTGGGTGGCTGGTGGTGTTGGTGTGGCTATGGGTGGGTTGGGTTGGATAGGAGCTATGGGTGATTGGGTGTTTGGGGTGGAGTAGGGTGTCTGGGAGAGTGGGGATGCCTATTGGTTGATTCAATTAGAAGGGTAGGTTAGTAAATTCAGTTATTTAAGCTAAGAGTTAACAATATAACACCAAGGGTTAGCCATAAAATTCTAATAAGAGCACACTAATTGCTTATGCAATTTCATGAGGTTACTCGAAAAGCTAAAATAAAGAAGAAGAAGAAGAAGAAGAAGAAGAAGAAGAAGAAGAAGAAGTTTCCGCCGTGTAGAATTTGCAATATCACGAGGTCACCGTGTAGAAATTCTAAATAATAATTGATAACTAAACACCATTTATCACTTAGTTCTTTGTGCAAAGGTGAGTGTAGACACCTTTATGGGATAAAGGGAGTAGGCTTCTTAATAGGCAAGTGGTAGCACCATTTATTTCGTGGATCATGCCCCTTGTGAAATATGCACATCCAAACCACCTAGTTACTATGTAATTAATCTAAGTGCTGACAATATATTTATTTTGGTTGGACCAACATCTTATTGTTATGATTTTAGGCCTTCTTTCATTTCTTCCTAATAGAATTAGTTTTAAAGAAAAGTAATTGCAAGATAAGTTTGGATTAATAAAAAGAAGTCTATGCTTCTACTTTTTTCTGTTTTATTTTATTTTATGTTATCTTATAAGTGGGGCTAATATCTTATTCTTTTAAAAGCAAGGCCTTTGTCAATTCACCTTTAAAAAAATTTAAGAAGAATAATCTTATATAGATTTGGACGAAGACAAATAAAATCATTTCATTGTTTAAATTAAAATTCAGGTAAGCTTAGATATGTCTAATTTGTTTCAATAAGCTCTTACTAGATATGTTAATTGGACACGGCTAAAATCACGGAGTGTCACGGACACCGACCCTTCACCGTGCACTCGGACACTTCCATTAAGAGTGGAGAGGAAAAAAGAGGAGAAGCATGAAAGAAAAACACATCTTTTTTTAAGACCATCATTGATATAGAGTAGATGGAGAGAAGAAGAATTAACCGAGGAAAGAATTAAAGTAAAAAAAAAAAAATAGGGGTGGACGTTATGAAAATTTTAAAGCTTTTGTAATAAATAATTTATTTATATAAATTTAAGTGTCTTATTGACGTGTCCCTGTGCCAGTGTCCAAATAACGGATAGATCCCAGTGTCCTAAAATTTTGGAACTTGTCGGATCAGACACTTGGACATGTGTCCGTGTCCGACACCCGTTCCCGAGTCCATGTAACATAGCTTACAAGTTTGGATAAGGAATTTCAGCTGAAATAAAAACTAAACCTTATGTTTAGATCATGAACTCATTCTATTTGTCTTTAGATAAGTGACTCCTGCTCCTGGTCAATTTGGCATGTGTTACACTGAACTGTGTTCCTGCAATTTCTTTTTGCTACTTCATTGCTTATCTTGGATTCTGTATGAAGCATCATTTACTTAAGAGTTTTTAATTTCAGAAAGTTCCACTGAAATTTGACAAGGAGCAAAATGCTTGGATTCTACAGAGAGAATTGCTGGTAAGTTATGCGTAGATATACATTAATGCCTGCCCTATGCCACAAGTTTGTTTTCTATTTATATTTTGTCTTTCTTTCTTTATGGAGCACCAAATTTCCTTTATTGTTCTCTGTAAAATTTCTATTTAATTACTTGGATGATTATATTATAACTATTTCAATTAGGATTATTAATGTTTTGACAATGCTAGTTGCTACTGAAGTTAAAAATACGTGATCGAACGGATCCCATGACATTCACTATCTCTTAACAGGAAGGACATTACGAGTACAAGTATATTGTTGATGGTGAATGGACTTGCAACAGGAATGAACTTGTCACTCCTACAAATAAGGATGGTCATACCAATAACTATGTTGTGGTGAGTCTCAAAAAATGTCAAAAGTTTGCTATTCTTGCTGCACATTCTTAAGATTCTTTTATATACTCCGTTATTAGTATAATGCATTTCATCATGACCAATGAGAGGGTGGTAAACTAAGTAGTTTAACATTAGAAGCTAGGTGATGTTTACTTCCTTGGTTGCAAAATTGTTGCGTCATTTCTCATTATTTTGGGGGTTGGGGGGAGAGGTGATAAGCATAAATTAAGAAAGTGGGTAAAAGGTGAGAGGGAACCACTTAGTAAGGCTGTAAGGGTACATTGGATGTCCGCAATGTGAAAAGCAATTTTTGTGGAACTTTAAAAAATGGCGAAGTTGCAATGATTTTGTAACAAAGGAAGTATAGTTTAACCAATGCACAATTAAAATACTTATGGCTAAATTATTGTATGAGAATGTGAAGAAGCAAATGGTAAAATTATTTCATAATGGAGAAAGTGTTTCAAGTGTGCCCGATGGCTGATGCCATAGTATTAATTAAACACCTTTGTTGCGCATTTGATTCTTTCTTTGCACTCAAATCTCTATCTGCAGGTTTCCGCTGATGATCCAGATAGTGATAGAGCACAGGTGAGGAAGAGGTTAACCGGGGAAGATCCAGACCTTACCACAAATGAACGAATCAAAATACGACAATTTCTCGAGGAAGTCTCGGATCATGAATGATGTTGCTGACCTCTTGAGCTGTGTTGTAAAAGGATGCAAAGTCAATGTGATACAGTCGCAGCAATACTAGTAGTTCATACCTAATACTCCGTACTAGTCAATATCTATGTTAATAATGTAGTTGACATATGTAAAGAACCTCTCGATGTAAAGTTGACTAATAAAATAATTTTTAAGCTTTATGTGTGGGTTTATGAAGTTTGGAGAATTGGAGGTTTTAGTTACATTGCAAGGAAAAATTGTTACATATTTATCAATTATTGTCGATTATATCTATCTATAGATATAACTGAAGTAAAAACCATTGACATCATAATTGAACACGTGTCATTTAGTTGAGAAAGAGAAACTCAACCGAGTGACCTAAAATTCTTAGCTGACAAGCTTAGTTGATAAACGAGAAACTTGTTTCCTCTGGCTAAGATAATATACTTTGTATACTTTTGTGATCGTATCTGATGCCTGCAACAGAACAACAGTCAGTAAGTCATTAAGGATGTTGAGAATTTGAAAAAACATTGTTAATATGTACTTATCTCATTAACAACAGAAGAAGCCAGTGACATTAAAATACATGGTTTCATGACAGATTAAAGACAACAACCAGGAGATATCACAAACCTCTGGCTTATTCGGCACATCAAATTCATTACTTCTAAGTTGCTCTACTGTTGGGCTCACAAAGTTGATCGGTCACGGGTTCAGCGTGCACATCTCCTTGCCAAATATGCTGCAGCAACTATGTTTTGCTTTGTTAACAGTTCGCAAATTTTAAGGTACACCCTGATGCACCTAGATAGGTGCAGTGTGCACCACACCTATACTTTTGAACATTTAGTAAAAATATATGAATCGCAAATTTTGAAACATGCAGTATATTAAATATGAACACTTAGTACAAATGAACATTTAGTGTTAAAAATGAACATACAATTATTTATAATGAACATATATATTTTAAACAATTTATTTTATCTTTATTTGTATATACATTGCATTTGAACCTATTTGTTTTTAAAATGAACATTATAATTTAGAATATAAACATGAACTATTAGAATTTGAACATATAGTTTTTGTATATAAACATTGAAATTTTTAAATATAATCATTACACTATTTTATAATGAGCATCAATAAATATGAACATGACACTACTCGAATTTGAACATTTATTATTTGAAAATGAACATTGAAATTTTAAATAAGAAAATTTAACAACAACAAACCAACCTTTGCTCCATTGTCCCAAAATGGACCAACCTTTAAATCTTCCCAAAATAAACACAAGTTTGCATTTTTTCTCTCGTAGTAAACCAAGCAGGTCACTTGACTTGTTATATCAGGTTGCAATCCACGTGTCATGTCCTCATTGGTTTTTTTTTTTTTTAAATATTTTGATAATTAATAAAAATTAGGATATTTTTTATTTTAACACTTGACAAAAATCCGAAATTGGGTTTTAACACCTCCAAAAAAAAAAAAATTTATTTAACACCTGACAAATGTTACGAAAATGGTTTTTACCGTTAAGTGGAGTCCACAGTGACACGTGTCACCATTTTACTTGTTTTAAAAAATTAAAAAAAAAATCCTAAAACTACCCATCCACCCCAGCCCCACCACCGCCACCTTCTTCTCCACCCTCACCTAGCGCGGCCGCCGGCGCATCCCTCCCCCTCCGTTTACCCGACCCACCAGAACCCCTCCCCTTCCCTTTCCCCAGCCCTAAACCGCCCTTAACACCGCCATCAATGGCCGAATTCAGCCACAAATAAACGCCCAAAAACGGCGACGAATTCAGCCATTAATGGTTGAAATCGACCGGTTTTGGGGCTGAGTGGCCTTAACCGGCCGATTTCGGCCATCAATGGCCGAATTCGTGGCCGTTCTTGGAGCAACAGCCATAAACTCAGAGCAAATTGAAATTCGTGGCTGGTGATGGCGACGGGCAGGTGGCGGCTGCAGGTGATGGCGACGAATTCTGGGTTTATGCTTGAGGTGATTGAGAGGGGGGAGGTGGAGCTGCTGTGATTGAGTGAGTGGGGAAGGGTTTAGGTTGGCCGGTGAGGGAGGGGGAGGTGGTGCGCCGGTCGTTGCGTCGCCGGCTGTGGGTCAAGCTGAAGAAGAAGAAGGTGGCAATGGTGGGGCTAGGGTGGCTAGGTAGTTTTAGGTTTTTTTTTTTAATTTTTTTAATTTTTTTTGTTTTTTTTTAATTTTTTGGGCAATAATAAAGCGACACGTGGCTCATGAACCACCTTAACGGATTCCTAAACAAAATCAGTTAAATGGTGTTAAAACTATTTTTATATTTTTTGTCAGGTGTTAAAATAAAAGTTTTTTTTTTTGGGGTGTTAAAAACTATTTTCGGATTTTTGTCATGTGTTAAAATCAAAAATATCCTAAAAATTATTTATTTTAATTTTTAAAATCAAATTATTTAAAAAAAAAAACCCTCCCTTTCCCCACCTAACCCCACTCCCCACTAGCCACCTCTCTCCGGCTTGCCGGCTGCCGACGCTCAACCGCAAGTAGCACCTTAACACACAAAAACCGATCAATCCGACAAGAACCGATCAACCAAGATCGAAAATCGATCCCCTTTTTTCTGATCCGATCTTCTCTAATCGGATCTCATTCTACCCAGAAATCATCAATGGCGCGCCACCGCATCACCACCGTCGCCTTCTTCTTCTTCTTGACCTATTTTCTCTTTCCTCCGCAAAAATCCGATCAACCAAGATCAAATCCGACAATCGACCCATAATACCCATCGACAAATTCGGGTTAACTCATATGGGTCGCCTCGAACTCAACATCACCGGAATCACCCTCTCCAACAACAACAACAATCTCGATCAGAAATCTGGCCACCATATCAACCCGCATCACCACTGCACTTCCCTGACATCACAGAACATAGCAAATCGCAAATCACCCATTTAGGGTGGTTACAGCAATTTGGGTGGGAGAAGAGGAGGAAAGGCCGAAAGGGAGGGGGTGGGGTCGTCGGCGCCTGGGGGTGGGTTGAGCGCCGGGCGTCGGTAGAGGGAGGGAGGGGGGGAGTGGCTGGCAGTGGGTGGGGGAGGAGGGCTGGTGGTGGTCAGAGTTTTTGTTTGTTTGTTTGTTTTTATTTATTTATTTTTTATTTATTTATTTATTTTGTTAATTTTTTAAATTAAAAAGATAATTAAATGAAAAAAAAAAAACTGACCGGTTATTCAGGTCATAATTCAACTTAGTTTAGTATGGGAGAAAAAATGCAAACTTGTGCTTATTTTGGGAAGATTTAAAGGTTAGTCCATTTTGGGAGAATGGAGCAAATGTTGGTTTGTTGTTGTTAAATTTTCCTTTTAAATATGAACACAAAACTATATAATGAACATCAAATTTTTGAAAAATGTTTGTCTGACTCGTAATAATTCAATAGTTTTGTAATATAAACTGAACAATTAGTGCATTTTTTTTTTGAGAACATTTAGTGCATATAAAATGAATATTTCTGTATAAACTATGTGAATTATTAATATCAAATTTTTTTTTATTTTATTTATAATTAGTTTTTTAAATAATTTAGATCTTAATAATTCCTCCGTTCTTTTAATATTGTACCACTTGCCTTTTAAGAAGTTTCACAAATATTGCATCATTTCTATTTTATGACAAAAAATTATCTATGTTCACACTACAAATACCAAAATACCCTTACTTTTTCACACTAATTATTTAGTCTATGTTTACATCACATGGACACTTTTGTATTTTTACCTTTCTATCTCTTCCTTTTTCCACCACCAAAATTATTGTACCCAACTTGTATGGTGCAATAATAATAAAACGGAGGAAGTATAAAAGATAATTTTTTTTTTTATAAATTTAATTCGTTAATTACTATTTGTTTTCCCTCCGTTTTTAAATACTTGCTCTATTTCTACATGCGCAGAGTTTTAGGAGAAATTGGAGAAAATAATAAATTATGAAGATAGTGGGGTTAGTGATGCGGAAGGTAAATTGGAAGAGAGAGAATCTAAAGGTAATTATATATAATTCTATTGGGTCCCACTAGTTGAGATAAATGAGTTATATATTGTAAAAGTTTTCCAAATAAGGAAATGAAGCAAGTATTTAAAAACGGTCGAAAATAGAAAGTGGAGCAAGTATTTAAAAGCGGAGGGAGTATTTTTTTTACCAGTATTATCAAACCTCATTCGTTACTTTTTCTAAGATGGTGAATGAAATTTTTAATTATAAAATAAAACATAAATCTAATTTTTCATTGGTCGAAATAATACTTTTGTTTATGTGGTGTGTCGAATGGCTCCCAAAAATGTCTCCTTTATTTGTATAATATTAGATTAATTTTCTCTCCTCTCACATTCATTACTTTTTAATATATTACTAGCCTTTTGGCCCGTGCAATGCACGGGTTGCTTATAGGTATATAATGTAATTTTTAGTTTTACAATATGTTTTAATTTAATGGAAAAATAAATAATTGATAAAGGAGAAGAAGGGTTGGAAATTGAATAAACTTGAATGAGATATAATTAGAGAAAAATGAACTAAACAACATTTATATAAGTATTAAATTAATAAAAACTCTTATATGTGGCTGGTCACACGATGTGGCGAGCCAAAATAGGGGTTATTTCGTTAGTGTTACTGGGGTTACTTAGTCAGTGTTACACGAGTTACTTGTTCAATGTTACATAGGTTACTTCGATAGTGTTATAACTTTATAGGGGTTACTTTGATAGTATTATAAGGGTTACTCGATCAGTATTATAGGGGTTACTTTGTTCTTTTAAAATCGGCCACACCGTATGACCATCCACACACAAGACGAGCTGAAAAACAAAATAATAAAGAAATGTACACAAGTTCTTATATGTGGTTGGTCACACCGTGTGGCCAGCCATCATAGGGGTTATAGGGGTTACTCGGTCAGTATTACAGGGGTATTTCGTCAGTGTTGTAAGGTTACTCGGTCAGTGTTATAGGGGTTACTCGGTCAGTATTACAGGGGTTATTTTGTTCTTATATAAGTGGTCACACGGTGTGGCCAGCTACACATAAGGCGGGTTGATTAAATTAAGGCTTATATTATTTTTTATTAAATGTTAGGAAGGGGATTAAAAGGATAAGGTAAATGAGATGACATGTGGCATTGTTTAATAAGATGGTTTGTGTTTTTAAATACTAGGTATAGATTAACCCCACTATATTTCTTTTACAAATTTTTAATACTCCTAGTGCCCCACTTATCTCTTATTATATTTAAAATCAATTGAATTGACATAACACTGTGTCGGTCAAAGTGTACTACTAAAAAAAACACAGAAGGAGTATTATTTGGGGTTTGAGACACAGACGAAAATATCGAGAAAATTCAACTTTATCTCTTAGATAAACCTACAAATATATTTCATCTCACCATCTTTTTTTCTCCTTAGTTTTTAAAATAATAAAAGTTTTTTTTATTGAAGAAGTCCATGTTAATCACTATGATAGATAAAAATTGTTTACCTCGTGACATTTTGATAAATAAGTCAACAATTTTATCCCGTCATTATTCGTGTGTATGTGGCCTGTGGGTAATAAGCAACCAATAAAGAATCGTTCAATTTGATGTTGAAGGTGTGGCTTGTAGTAAACTGGAAAACCACTGGTTAGCAGAGTCATTTCAAACTAGCAATGAGAAAATGATGAAAATGGATATTTTGGTTGTAAAGCCTAGACGAAGCAGCTTCTTATCAAATTCCTTCAACTTTTCTAAGTCTTTCAGGACTCGTTGCTCCAAGAAGAACTCTCAGCAACCTCAACCAAACCCTGATGATGATGATGCAAAAGACAATAAAACTGGTAAAATAAAATTAATCTTTTCAATTGTTGATTTAATTTATCATGTTTAGTTAAAAACGTCTCAAATTTTGTAACCTTTTCCTGTAATTTGGAGCAAATATTCTCTTATTCTTATGCATTCTTGTTTGTTTATACTTTGATGCTGAATTAACTGTAGTTTTCAGCTACTTAGGAATACAATTATTTGTTGATATTAATGTCATTTTATTTAGCTGTATTAGCATAAGGGATTATATATTTTTTTAATTAATTATAATTTGAGGAATATTTTTTGGTGAGGATTAGGAAAATGAACTTGGGTTAGTTGGTTGTTTTGATTTGATCTTAGGCTTAAATGGTTATTTGTTGATTGATTCAATATGTATCTTAGAGACGAATCGGACCCGGAATTTGGGGTTAAGTTAGCATGAATTTTCATCCTGCTAGAACTTCGGGATTACTTGGATACTAATGCAAGGCTAGAAGTGTGATTGGCATTAGGTGGTGGAATTTGGTAATTAAGCAACACATTGTGATTGCTAAATGTTGTATATCTTATGGAACCGTTTACTGTGTTTTTGTAAAATAGTATCTATTTATGCTCTTGGTTTACTTGGTTGGTTGTTTTTTTGATGAAGTTGTTTTATCTGGGCTTTTGAAAGAATTGGAGAAGTGCGAATTTATTTCCGTATTTTGGACCTTCAAATACTTTATCCCTTCTCAACTGTCTGAGTACCTTAGTGCATTGTGCAGTTGAATTACTTCGTATAGAATTGGGATTTCATTGGAACTTCTAAAATTTTGGAGAAAGGATTCATCCATTCTACGTGATAGAGGCCTGCCAATATTTGGCAAACGTCTTGGCAATATGTGTTTATTTAGTATAATATAATAAGACTTCATATAGTCCCAACCTTTAAAAAGAGAGAACGCAGGGGGGGGGGGGGGTTAGTCTACTATGAAGCAAGTGGTTACTTATCTTTTTACTTTTGTGCTACCAGCTATATCCTTTTGGGTATAACATGTTCAAGAAAAAACTGTTTGATTAAAAAACAGCATGTTAGAAGTTGGATCTGAGCTAGAAAGTCGAATTTCTTTTTGTTTTATTTCTGTTCTATTCCATTTTGGCCATTAACAATCAGAATTCTAAAACAATCAGACCAAAGCTACCTTAATAGCAGCAGACTGCCTTTGCCAAGAGCAGGGCTTTAATATTCAAGCAACAAGTTGCCTGACATTGCAGAAGCTATGAATTACTTCAAAAAGACAAAATTTACCTAAATCAACCAGATAACCTTTGAGCAGCCTTAAAGATGATCTCTTTATAAGAACCTTCCCGGTTTTAGCACAACCAAATATGATATATAGACT